TGTTGTAGATCTTGTAAAATCTAGTCAAGCAATTTTGTGTCCTCAATCCATTAAATGGGGAAAGGCAAGGAAAGATGAAATGAAATCCATGGCCGCCAATGGACTTTGGGAACTAGTTGAGTTGCCTGGAGGTTTTAAACCCATTGGTTGCAAGTGGGTATACAAGACCAAGAAAGATTCCAGAGGTAATATAGAGAGGTTTAAGGCAAGATTGGTGGCAAAAAGATACGCTCAAAAGGAGGGAATTGATTACATGAAGACATTTTCACCAGTATCAACAAAGGATGCATTTAGAATGATCATGGCACTAATAGCTCATTTTGATTTAGAATTGCATCAAATGGATGTCAAGACAACTTTTTTGAATGGTATGCTTGTTGAGGAAGTATACATGGAGCAACCAAAAGGTTTTCATGAACTAGGAAAGGAGCACATAATATGTCAGCTTAATAAATAAATATATAGACTAAAACAAACTTCTCGACAATGGTACTTGAGGTTTCATGAAGCTGTCTAGTCACTTGGTTTTGTGGAAAATATAGTGAATCCTTGTTCTTTATGTGATGATATTTTACTTGTTAGTAGTGACTTAGTCTTATTTCATGAGAGAAAGAGAATGTTGTTTAACACTTTTGATATAAAAGATTTGGGTGAAGCAATATTTGTGCTTGGTATAAAGATACAAAAAAATTGATTCAAGAGATTATTGGGGTGGTCACAAAGGGCTTATATTGATAGAGTGCTTAATAGATTCAATATGCAAAACTGTAAACTTGGTATTGCTTCAATTTCTAAAGGTGATAAACTCAATAATGGACAATGTTCAAGAAATGATATTTAGAAAGAACCTATGAAAAGTATTCCTTACTTTAGTATTGTGGATAGTTTAATGTACACAAAGGTTTATACAAGGCTTGATTTAGCTGTTGTTGTTAGCGTACTTGAAAGATATGTTTCTAATCTTGGTATGGAGCATTAGGTAGCTACCAAGAAAGTTATGTGATATTTGCGTAGAACTAGAGAACACATGCTTGTACATAAGCATGTTGATGATCTAGAAGTTGTAGGATACACTGATGTTGATTTAGGAGGATGTACTGATGACATGAGATCTATGATAGGTTATGTTTTTATTTTAACTGGTGGTGCTCTCTCATGGAAGAGTTCTAAACAAACTATTGTTACTACCTCCACCATGCAAGTAGAAATCATAACATGTTTTGAGGCTGTTGGTCATGTTAAATGTTGAAAAATTTTATTTTAGGGCTCTTTATTATTGATTCCATCTCTAAGCCAATTAAAATTTATTGTGATAATTAGCAACTGTGCATTTCTCTAAGAGCATCAAAAACACTAGATGTGCAAGGTCAATAGATTTAAAACACTTTAAGATTAGAGAAATGGTTGATCATGGTGATATTGATGTTGAATACATATCTACCAAGGAAATGATAGCAGAACCACTATCTAAAGGGCTTAAACCTATTGATTTTCTTAAGCATGTAGAAAACATGAGTATTATTTCATCTTTTGATATAATTGATTAGTAGATAGATAAAAGAACATCTACTCATGTTTCACTCAATAACATTACTTTTTCTTGATTTGTTATGTTGACTCTTCAATGTCATACATGATTCTATTAAATGATATATATATATATATATATATATATATCTATGAGCTCATGACATATAATAAGTGGTATATTCTTGATTATTCATCTCGAGATATATGTTTTAGAAACATGATGTCTTCGGTTTAAAAGCATAAGAGCTTTAGTTTAGAAGCTTATGATGTTTTATAAGCATGAAGTTTTTGTTTGGCAATTGACTTCCTTGGAAGTGGTATTGATCTCTTCATGAGATTGTAGAACTACTTGATATTAGCATGTAACAACATATAACTGTGTGCTTATGCATGGGATCATGATGCTAATTTCATACTGCACCTTGTCACATTTTGGGCTCCATGTCATTGGAGTTTTGACATTTGTAATCATAAATGGTGTTGTGTCGATTAATGAGACAATTACTAATATGGTTCAGTGTTGAAATCTTCAATGGATTGGATCTTGTGTGGAGATATTTTTTTTAGCCATAGGTTATGTGACCACTGTTAGCTTCAATCCATGAGTCTTTCTTTTTAAACTTAATCTTTATTTATTTATTTAATTAAATTTAAATAAAATTAACACAATTAATGTTGCTCAAGTGGGAGAATGTTAGAATTTTCCTAAATATGGTTTGCCATTAATCTTGCAATTTTAAACTAGTTTTATAAAAAATGGATTGAAGTGTATGGTATAGAGAAATTGAATTGGTAAACCCATAATTATATGATCCATAAAAGTAATGGTTATGGTTCATCTCTATGATATATTCTATTAAAGAATGTGATGTTAATTTGATAGGTGCAAGGCTGTTTATTATTGGGCACCTTAATAGGAAGGCTCGTGTTAAGTTCATTCTATTTTCAACCTGGTCCCTCTCACATCTAAAGCCCTAGTATTCTCTTATAAATATGGTTGTAGTCTGCTCCATTAAGGATTATAGAATATTCTTGATAGTGAGAGGAAGGCTCGTGTTTCGGTTATTTTTTATTTCTTTCCTTTTTCTCCTTCGATTTTTAAAACTGCTATGGATAATCAAGATACACTATCTTGTTTTACAAAATTAATGATGTTTGGTGTTCTGCTATTAGTGCGTAGATCCTGTTTAATAATTTCCAATATATTGGGTTAGGACAAAGTGTGACTCCATGGTATTGTCATGGATATTGACTGCTCTCTCTAGGGAATTGCATGACAGTGTGGTTTATGCTGAGAGTGCAGCAGAGGTTTGGGAAAATTAAAAGTAACATTTCTCACAATGAAAGACATCTTAGATATATGAACTGAAACTCGAGCTCGCAACAACTACTAGCGGCTTATTTTACGAAATTGAAACCTATTTGGGATGAGTTGTAGGGTCATGAACCAGTACCAACGTGTACTTGTGGTGAAGCAAAGGAGTATACACAAGCATGAGAGACTGAGAAGGTTCATCAATTTCTCATGGGCTTGAATAAGAATTTTTCTACTATGCGTTCACTAGACTTGAATATGGAACCATTACCATCTCTCAACAAGGTTTATTCAATGGCTAAAAAAGAAGAAAAACAACAAATGGTGTCTACATCTAGAAGTACCGTCATAGAAACAGCGGCTTGAGTAGCAAAGGCAGGTTATAATGGGATGGTGAGCACATCAGGGAAACCACGCTGTGATAATTGCAAAAAGATAGGACACAAAAAGGAAAGATGTTATGAAATAATTGGCATCTAGTGGGTTGGAAACCAGGACCAACCAAGATAAAGGGTAAGGGGGAGCAACAAAAACATTAGAACAGGGATAAGGATGTGATTTTTGCAGTAAATGCATCCCTTGAGCCCAAATGGACGCTATTGTACAAGAAAAATTTATATACTATTATAGCTTTGCAATTATAGTGCAAAGATTGATTTCCTTGTTGATTTCCTTATTCTATTCCGTGATACTCTCCTATAAGATTTAAACATGATCAAACGTATTTTGAGGTAAAAATTATAGTTCACTCAATCTCACCCGAGTTTATTGTTTTCATTATTGTTTCCATGTCTGATCTTGAAGGAATCTCCATATCCATGGGTGATCTGCTGCAGATTTTTTCTTCTTGCTCATTCTGCTTCTTGAGAAATAGCTCTTTCATTTTGCATGCTTTTAATTAATCCAGTCTATTGACGCTTGAAATTTAAACAATTAAAATAACCATGAATGTATAGTAGTTAGTGTTTGTGATGGTTTTGGATAACACCAATAGTAATAGTACAATCTCAAGCCATTTCTTCCTTTCTCAGGATTGATTAATCTGAATGATTTCCTGAAAACAAGTTTGCAGCAGTCGTTTATTTGTGCCTTCTCATTATAGAGTCCTAGTAGCTTAAGTGTGGTATTCCTCAAGTTACTTCAGTGAAAGCTCATTCTCACTCACTGTCATGTTTATTATTGAGTCATCATACACTGACTTACCTTCAATTTCTGCAGAAATCTTCTGAATATGCCGTTGCTCCACTCTAAACTGATGTCTCTCTTCTTTCCTCACTTGCATCTCCCATAAAGCTGGTCTGATGGAATCTAGTGCGTTCCTGCCATCGTTCTTGCTGCACAGACAGTAATTTGAACTGAGTTGTGTACAAAGAGTATACTCTCACAATGGAATGGAATCTTTCAGAAAACATCCTTGGCTAGATCAGAGTCAAATGAACTAATTTATAATGAAATGTGTAACCGCTTTCAGCAAGTATTTCTAATGTGCAATATTCTTTAGAAAACATGTTGCTGAGAGACTATAACACAAAATTCATGCTTCATTTTCTGTTTTATGTACATAGTTTAATATTTAACTCTAGCTTCCTACAAAGAAGATTTATCTAGTATTTTGAGCAACACAATATTGTGACACCCAAATTTTATATTAAGAAAAGTGTGATCTTAACGGATACATAAGTGTTGTGGCCAACAACTAATAATGACATACCTTGAGCCCTTGAGGATAAGTCAACCCTCGTCCAAATTGTGGTAGGCGAGATTGTGACACCCCACTGTTCTATCTTTTCCTCTTCCTCTTCCCAATTATTCAATTTGCATTTTCTCCGTTAAATTCATCTTTAAGTGGGCAACATAATCATTTGATTAAAGGAATAGCTAAGCGGTAAATTTGAACAGAAGATTCTATCTTTGGTGAACTTTTCAACACATTATATCATTGAAAATAAGGTGAAATTAAGATGTCTGTCAATGTCATTAGCAACTCATTAAGAACTTCAGCTGACGAGATCATGGATTCGATGCCAAGAGTGTTAAGGGCGGCCAAATCATGGCGTAGAGCTATAAAGAATTTTTTTTTTTTTTCCTTTAATTTTTTCGCTTGAAAGATTTATATACAGAAAATTGAAATGCAATCCAAGCAAAATGAATTGCACTAAAGTATTCTCATATATTTAGCATATACGCCAGGGGAACAGAGAAAGGGGAGCCCAGTTCGAATTTCACCTGTAAACAAAGGCAAGTATTCTTGCTATGAAGTGAAGGGAATACGTTGTAAGCCAGCTAACAAAGAACCACTTAGCTCGATCTCTTTGACTGAATGATCTAACACAAAATGTCAAATGATGATGATAAAAGAATAACTGTATAAGCCCTATATCATATTGTTACATTATCAAGAACTCACTCCTGCAGTTGCCAGAAAAAGAAAGAACCTCTGTATGTCTTAATTAGTTGTTCTTGTCCCTCAACATAAATGAAGAATGCAACCATGAATCATAATTCCTGTAAAGCCGTCCACAATGGTGGGTTGTGTGTCTATTATTCCATGTGTGGTATAGTCACTGTAAATGATGAGAAGATAGAGGATGTACAGTGCATACGATGAACCTTTTGAAATCATCTCCTCCGACTCCACCATTCTGGAATTTTCAATCTACGGTTTCTATGTACAGCTAGTTCGACCCCTGGAAGCTTGTGCTTTACCTGTCTCCATAACATATTGACGGCATCTTCCTTCTTTGGAGGGTACTGGAATTCAAAGTGATGGGAGATATTTTTAAGTCGTCTCCACATTTCAAGCCATCTCTCCTTTGAAATTTGCCGGAGCTGATTTACCATGTAACCTGGCTTCAATGCCTCTTTCATGGAGAAGAAAATTGAAAATTCAGTATAGTCGAGTTCATCCTCAAAAGGGAGCTCAATTTGGTCACTGACAATTACAGGAACACAGTGGCTCACAATTGCATCAAACAGACGGCAAGATGAAGGTGTATCACCAACAGGATGAAGACAGAATTTTGATGAACGCATCCCCTGTGTAGACTAGTATAAAAAAAGAAGAAAAGAATTAAAGAGATATGGTAACAGTATGATTCTGACATAGAAAATTATGTGCAAGGGGCAAAGTGACAACATCATCTCTCAATTTACCATTCATGGTGTTCTTACAAAGGAGATTTTCTTTATATGAGTTTAGATTTCTTTTGCATTGTCCATGTCTAGATTTTTCACAAGATTGCAGCAGCAATAATGTATTGGAATTATTGGACTCCGTCAACATATTCAAAACAGAAACTACTGCAGACTCTGAATCTATAAAATCGGCATCCATTATCTTCTAATATTGAAAGAGTAGTTTGACTATTTGAGTTATACATACTAAAGTCAATAGTGATGAAATAACCATTAACCATTTTCATAACTTGATTACTTACCGCCTGAATGGCTTTTGTTGTTGCTACACTTCGCTCATAATGAACATCATCATAACCAGATAGTATCTTTTCTAGTTTGACGCGAATTTTACCTTGCTGCAAAATGTTGTGACATTTAGTGATCAACTCTAGACAACATAAGTTTTGAAAATGGGATATTTATCTCCCAAAAGACTAGTTGCTTACATCTTTCCTGAGTGTATTGCCCCGGAAGAAAAGGAGTGTGGTGCGAGAATCAAATGGATCAGAAGTGTTGTCATCTATGAAAGAATTCACGACATGCACATAAGGAGACACGACATCTTTGTTCAAATTTGACATGCTTCTAGGGTAGCGGCCGAAATCTACAACAATAAGAATAGATGCATTCACCTCTTGTCGAAGAAATCTGAAAGCATTTGGATGTGTCATGGGAATTATATGGTCTCTGCCTTTCGATCTCTGCCAGATCTTGGATTTTCGCAAGAACGCAAGTAACTCAATCTGAATTATAAGACACCAATTGCAATGCTTTATGTAGGTAAAATAGAATGTAATAATAATAAACTAGAATAGCTGATTGGCAGCAGCAAAAAGGAAGAGTAGCTTCTACAGTTCACAATTATCTATGATTCTCCGCAAATTGGCACTTTAACAATAACAGATAACTTTCGGGCCAAAAAAGACCATAACAGCCTCCTAAATTAACAATTCACCAAAATCTGAGAAACCAGTCAATGACCCTGTTCATTGACACAGCCAAATACAACACAGCATTTTAACAAGAAAAAAATAAAGGTTGACAAAATTATAATAAGCAAACTGCAGGGTAAAGAAGAAATTGGAAGTAGACAACTGACCATTAAAAATTCCCCGTTCTGATTGCCCCCAGTCACCATTCCCTCTAAGCTCTTAAAAACCATCTGTCATCTTCCCTATATTCCAAGCCATTCATAACCTATGCCTGCTTTTAAACAAAGACAATATTTGAGAGTCGGAGATTTACCTCACTCAATTTTCATATTCTTTCTTCCCTGCCTGAATTCTTGGTCTTTATACAGATACTGACCTCCAAATAACATCATATGTTTCAATTATGCACAAGTCCGAAAACCCAATAGATGCCATTCTAGCAACTGCTATTTTAAACTATTCACTGCTTCTACACATCACCAAAGGCAGCAATCTATCCTCAAAATCTTCAGACTCTCAAAATTTTCTAATGCTAGCCAAAACTAATCTCAACTATGATGGTATTTCCCACTAGAGGATTTCCTCTATTATGCCTACAATGAAGTGCCTGAGAAGAACATGTTTGAAAATTTTGTCATCTTTTTTCTTTAAAACATGTTCAATTCAGCCATAATTTAGACTTTCCGAAGGAAAATTCAAGTTAATCTTTTTTTCTAAAAAAAAAGGGGGGATAAAAACAGACAATACCTTTCCTTTCCTCTGTCCTCCAGAAATCAAATACAACTATTAGAATGCTTCCAAATTCAAGTCCAATTAAAAAAGGAAAAAACAAAAATTAAAGAACTAAAATTTAATGCCCACATTCAGCAATGTTCCTAGAATCCTCAATTTTTCAGGAAATGACAATGACACGGGAAATGAAACAAACTAAAATTAAGCAAACTCAACGCTATATCAAATAACTCAAGTACCTGCAATTGTCGATCCTTCTCAGTTTCCGGATCCGTCATGTTATGCCCATGAGTATTGAAACTCAACGAAGAGAAAAACGGAACAAAAAAGGCATCCGCCTTTTCAGGATCCGTAACCCTAACGGCCTCTCGCTCTTCTTCGTCGCCATCATTCAACAGTGACGCCATCAGCCAATACTCCACACTATGCTGCCTCTTGATACCGGAACTGGGCGGCCACGGCGGCAGGTTGTCTTTGGTCACCGGACCCTCCTCCTCGGAGCTCCTGCGATCCATCATTGCCACATGGAATTTCCGCGGGAGATCGTACATGTAGACGCGGAGAGGACGGTCGATTGCGCAGAGGGACTGCGGTGCCGGAGATGACTGTAGCAGCGGGAAGAAGTAGGATCGGAGATCGACAGAGCCGATGAAGATTGAATAGGTAATTAAGAGGAGAAATACGAAAACGACGCAGATTGAAGCTTTACCGTACATTTTGGCAATGGAAGAACACTTAGCTCTATTTTGTTTCTGAAAATTTTAACAGTCTGCGTCCTTATAACGACCCGCTGACAATCCCTTTTCCCTTCTGTCCTTTTTATGACGTTATTTTGATTTTATCTTCGTACTTTTATATTTATTTATTTGATTTTTAAAAAGTAAATAAAAATAAAAAAATAATTTTAATTAAAAGATAAATAATTAAAATTAAAAAATAATTATAGTTTTAAGTATGGAAAAAATATTTTTATTTTTAAAAATAAAAAAATAACTATTATTTTATTATAAGTTTTAAATTAAAAAGCACCTATTATTATGAAATGAATTAAGAGAATATTTTATTATTTTATTTTAGATGAGATTGTTATTTTCCTTTACAAACTGCAAAAAATAAAAATAGTTTAAGTATTAAGATTATAAAATATTATTAATAAATAATTATATAGATGAGCACTAAAGTTTTGGGATTAAAACATAGAAAAATTAATTCCTTTAAAATACACTAAGTAGATGTAAATGTATTCTCTTAAAATTATATGAGAATAATTGATCTTAAACTGCACAGTACCATTACCATAAATATAAAAAGTAATTATTATTAAGAATATTTTAATAATTTTAGTATCAAAACTTTACTTTTTATGTATTATCGAAACTAAAATAACATTTTTATTTTTGAAAAGCATGCTTTTTCAATCCACACTATAAAAATAAAAAGTTAAATATCAATTTTAACCTTTCAACTTTAGGGCTTTACACATTTTCATTTATTAACTATTTTAAATATTTTTTTTATCTTTTAATTTTAAAAAATACATTTTTAATTTTTATTTATCTATCTGTTAATTTGTTAAATCTATTCATATATATTTAGTTTCTAAACTTATAAGTTTATAGACTAAAATGTGCATTTTTATTTATCTATCTGTTAATTTGTTAGATATATTCATATATATATTTAGTCTCTAAACTTATAAGTTTATAGACTAAAATGTGCATATATTATAAATTTAAGAATTAAAAATATGCACATTTAATTATATTTAACGTACTAATTGATAAAAGAACAAAAAAATGTAGATTTTTCAAAGTTAAAGGACAAAAAAAATGTAAAAAAAAAAAGGTTAAGAGATAAAAATGGTATAAAATTTTAAAATTATGGGATTAAAATTAACATTTAACCAAAATAAAAATTTTATATAGGACGGGGAAAGGCATAAGAATAATGCTTACTTTTTTATTTCATCCATATATCTTTTTGGCTGAGGCCTTATTTTATTATTCTTATTAAAGTTTATTATTATTATTTAAAAATATAAATAACTTTTTTTCAAGAATTAGGTTATATATGATTTAACTTATTTTATCTACAAGTAACTTAATTTTAAACTATTGAGTAATATATATCAATTATTGTATTAATTTTAATTATCAATTATTAAATATAATAACTATTCTTAATAGTTAAATCAAATATTACCTTAATTTGATATGCTTTTTTTATAATATGTTTGGGTTAAAAGAAATAAAGAAAATGAAAGATGAAGATTTTTTGATCAATTAAATTATAATATTTAAAAAATATTATCATTTAATTGGTTAAAAAAAAATTTCTCTACTTTCCTCCACTCCATTCTTCTCCATCTAAACATAAGGTTAAGATTGATTTTTCCTTTTATAATTCGATCATATAAGTTCTTTACTAAAGATGGTGACATGCTTTGAAATTAGATTGGAATAAGCTTCCCTTCTTTTAAACCTTTTTTCTTTCTTGCAAAAAAAGTAAAGCATATTTCTTTCTTCATTTTAATGATAACTAGCTGCTTTCTTTTAAAGACAGATTACATTTATGACAACTGAACAAAAAAGGAGTACTCATGTGCATTTTGCTGAAGAACTGACGACATTCTTTTGGGTGAATCATGGGATAAGTATTTATTTCTTTCCTACACCTTCTCTTTAGAAGGTTATAAACATGCGAAGAAGGCTATTGAAGACTCTGGCACAATGTTTTGAAAACCGGATTGGATCGGTCGATTGGATCAGTTGAACTAGTATTGGTACAAATGGTTTAGTTATATCTTTTAAACCGTTTGAATTTTAAATTATTTAAAATCGATAAAAACCATTGAAACCACTCAAACCGATAAACTATTCGATCGGACGGTTCAATGGTTGGGCATAAAATCTTCAAAATATTGTCTCTCGCGACACTTCAACTCACAACCTCGAAGCCTTAATTCCGACTACTTTACCACTAGAACAATGCAATCCTTATATTATTAAGTGCTTGAAATTTTATTTATCCAATAGAATTTTCAAAACTTTTAACTAAATTATTGATGACAATCATGGGATTCGAACACCCATTCTCCATGGTATGAAACAAATGCTCAACCACTTGAGACACAACCTTTTATTTGTTATTTTTTGCTTTGCAATATATTTATTATATCTTTAAAACCACAATTATATTAAAGTTTGTTCTCACTCAAGCTCAAACTTGTAATCTTTCACCTATCAAATCAATCACCTACCACTGCACTCAACTAACACCTTATGAAATATTTTATAAAATAATATATTTATAATAATTTAATCAACTCGATGATTTGACCGATTAAATCGATTGAACCGATTAAACTGTGAACCGAAGGTCAAAACGTTTTGACTTTTGATTCGGGTTTAAAAACATTACTTTGGCATGGTAAAGGTAGAGGCTTCACAGTTCTGTGAAGTAAATTCGATTTCAACTTGTGGGGGGTTTAAGTTGGGGGCTAAGTTTAAGCTATGTATTTTATTGTAATTTAGAAAATTAAAAGGATGATATAAGGGATGCAATTAGTGTTTACAAATTAAATTTTTAAAAAATTAAGAAAAAAACACTTAAACATTATGTATTTTCATTAAAGAATTATAAACAAATTATAATAGCTTCATTTTTACTTAAAAATATATTATTTTAACATGTCTTTAATAAGACAGAAGGCATGGGGTTGCGGGCCGAAATTCTAAGCACAGCACATTGACTAATTATATCTCACAATGACCGATTATATTTTTATGTATCCCTATTTAATCAATTATACATGTCATATAACCAGTTTTAAACTCACATTTCAACTTTCAATTTCATTTTCCAAATGTTGAACACATAAATTCGCTCAAATTCTATGGCTTTCCAAAATTCGATTTCTATAATAATTTGCAGACCAAGGAGGTCCTAAATGAGAAGAAAAAGAAAATCATGAGAGACCCCCTGTTATGAACATTAGGAAACCACAAAACTTTTCTGCTACTCATTTCTTGCTAGTTCATACGAGCTATAAATGATATTGTGAGGGACTGATTTAGTGATGGCAACGGGGTCCCATGGAGTCGGAAGTCCTTCTCCATTCGTGGGGATGGGGACCCCGTGGGAATTTTTGACACGAGATAGATTTTCCCTCTTCTTCGTTCCTCATGGGATCTTTATTTTCAATCAATTAATATTAAAATATAAATTTTTTTATATAATTAATTAATATTTAATTATAATAAATAAAATTATAAAAATTTCAATAAAATTAACTAAAATTCTTTAAATATAAAATTAAATATAAATTATTCAGATATAAATAAAGATCAATTCAATATAAATAGCTAAACAAAATTGTTCCAAACATGAATAAAAATTAATCCAATATAAACAGCTAATCCAACATACTTATTCCAAACATAAGCAAAAATCAATCCAACATAAAATCAATAACTAAACCAACATCCTAATTGCAACATAAAGGGAGGCAGCCAACTCAAAACACCTTAGCTCTCAAAATCCACATTTGCTCATCAAAAAACCTATAGTAGTTCAGCAATCCAGCAGCAATCCAGCAGCAATCCAGCAGCAATCCAACAACAACTCTAGCAATTTGTAGTCCAGCTTCGACAACAGCTCTAGCATATCAATAGCAGATTAGTAGTGACAATGAAGAAATGAGTGAAAGTGAAGGCAGAAGGGTGAGAAGGGTAGAACTCAGAAGGGCGACAATGAAGGTTTGAAATTCTTGAAGAGTGCTGACGGCAGAAGGGGAGGGGAGGTGAGACTGATGAGAAATGAGTAAGGTTAGGGTTAAATGGCTAATAATGGATTGGGTTGGGTTGGATTGGATAAAATTGCTAATAATGGATTGGGTTGGGTTGGGTTGGGTTGGGTTGGATTGGGTAAAATTGGGTTAAGTTTAATTTTTATTGGATTGAGGTTGGATTTGAAAGTTGAATTAAATTTAAAATAAAACTAATTTATATATATTTTTTAGTTTTTTGCGGGGATAAGAATCCCCACGAAGCCCCACAGGACGGGGAAAATTTCTTGTGAAATTTCATGAGGGGAAAATGCCCCTCGCCCCCACCTCGTGGAGGAATATTCTTCCCCACCCTGTCCTTGTGG